CGCCGTGGACTACAGGACGTTCCGTTCTATACGTAAAGGGTTTTATCTCCTGCCTCTGGGGCTTTTCCGACTCCGCTTTAGCTCGCATATACTCCCGCTTTTCGAATACGGGCTATCCGCTGCTTACCCTCTCACCAAATCCGAATGTGAGATGACAGAGAAGATTTGACGGCCGGGATCCAAATCTGTCCCTGAGTGACGAGACAGGTCAGGTCAGGTCAGGTCAGATGGACGATAGAGGCTTCCGCCTAACGAGCGTCCAGTTCTTGTGCCGGTAAGTGAAGCGACCCCCGGCACTTCGACGTTGGATTGTCTCTTCTTGCTTCTGCAATGGAAGGAAGCAAGAACAAGAGCAATCTCTGCACTTTCATATGCCAGCATCGAAATACACTACATATTAAGGTACAACTACAATATCTCTGGAAAAAGGATGGACCAACAATCGTCTAAGCCCCTTTTGAAGGCTTCTACGGTCTCAGACTCCACTAAATCAGAAGGAAGTTTATTCCAGTAGTTAACTACCCAATTCGTAAAAAACTTTGCCCTGATGTCCAAACGAGCTCTGTGATGTTTAAGCCTCAGGCGATGCCCGCGCAGATGGTCTGACGTAGCCAGTTCAAACAGATGGGTGGAACAGTTCGCATTCACACCGGCTTTAACGACTGAACTTGTTCTCGCTAGGTTAACGTTGTTACCACGGAGAGTTGATATTCACTCGACCTATTCTCAGAGGAGAACTGGGTTGCGAGTTACAGGACTACTTTAAATTCAACACTGAGAGTTCGACACTAGTAAACCGCGGGAAATTGTTCAAACCGAGGAATCTCTGTGTGAGGCTCAAGCTGGTCTTGTCAACGCATGTAGTGAATGATTGGAACTGGTTGCTGGATCCTATTGTTGAGGTTGAGACAGAGGAACGTTTCAAAGCACTGTTGGATTCTCACCTGCGCGCGCTGGGGTTCTACTGCCTCTAAGGCAGCCACAGTGGTTCCTGCGTAACCTTGTGCCGCAATGACTCACGCCATCTCCGCAATGATCGGGAAGCGAAGGAGCTGACAAAGGATCCTCCTTCTGCTCTCTATCATCCAATGCTCCAAGGACGCCTGAATCGACCAAAATGTCCCATCCGGAAGGATGTTAGACGACTAAGTGTTCCTAGAACGACTGATCTCTGTGCTAATCGACGAAGGCAAACAGGGAATCAACGTTATCTCGGCTTTTCTCTTAGGCAGGAAACAAGAAGTTTTCCTCAAGACCCGTCACTTTAAGGTTGTCTTGCAAGATGTAGAATAATGTCGACGCGTTCTCCTACGGACCTCAAGTCTCAAAAGCAAGCCGTTTTATGTGTTGAGAGGTCTCTTCCCAGAAGATTAGATCAAAATGAAAAAAAGCTGTTGACGAGATGAGGACCCGTCTGGTGAGTGGTGAAACGGATCTTCATATCGTAGATTTGCGCGTAGTGCGGAAAACTCCGAGAACCGTTGGAGGCCTATTCTTGTCACCCCAGCACAGTAAAGCAAAACAATGGACTGCGTGTGCTGTTCGCTAATTTGCGTAATCTGCGAACCAAACTTGATGAGATCCAGACGCCTGCCGCAGATGTCTTTCCTGATTTAATGGCTTTCACTGAAACATGGTTATTTCCAGACACCATTGACTCTGAAGTGTCTATCTCCGGATACCGCCTTTCTCGGACCGATCGTCATGGGAGGAAGTCAGGAGGCGGCGTAATACTCTACTAGAGTGCGGATCCGAAGTCCCATATAGTTAAGGTCTCATGTGACAATGACAGCACTTTCTAGAAAGACTCCTAAGACGCTTTCTCCTACCTCAAACGGAGCACTAGAGCGGCAGTGGTAACCCTGTCCCATGTTCTTCCGAGCATCGGGATCCAGTTAACGAAGACCCCGACAAAGCCAGTCTCCTGGCGCGGCAATACTCGTCAGTGTACTCAACATCAGCGTCGTACTCCGACAGGCCAGTGTGCACTCCCCTTTATACGTTAGACCACGTCGATATAAACACTGACGTAGTGTTGAAACTTCTTTGTGAGTTGGATCCTTACTCATCGTCTGGTTCTGATGACTTACATCCCTTGTTCCTCAAGGCTGTAGCCCAGTACATTGCTTCACCTATCACGCAAGTCTTCCGTCGAGCATTTCAATCCGGAGTACTCCCGACCGCTTGGAAGATGGGCATCACCAGGTCCATATACAAAGGAGGGAACCGGCAGGACCCAGCTAGCTACCGGCCCATTTGCCTTGCATCGGGAGTTTGCAAAATCATGGAACGCGTCATGAACCGGACACATCGGCATCATCTCGAGTGGTTGGATCTGCTATCCAGTGCCAAGCATGGTTTTCGTAAAGCTCGCTACTGCTCTACCAACTTGCTTAAGGCTAGAGAAAAATGGGCAAGTTCCTTAGATGTTGGCAAACGTCTGGATGTAGTGATCGTGGATTTCAGTAAAGCTTTTGATAAGGTCCCGCATGAACGCGTTCCTTACAAACTCCGAGGACTCGGTGTCACTGGAAACTCTCTCTCGTGGATTTCCGATTCTCCTCACAATCGTTCCATGCTGGTGAGAGTGAACGAAACGTATGCCGATCCTATACATATGACCAGCGGCGTCCCACAGGGCACCGTCCTCGACCCCGAACTCTTCAACATCTTCATCAACGGTCTACCGTCGGAGCTATAATCGGATTGCTTGATTTATGCGGAGGATCTAAAGATTTGGATGGTATCCTTTCTAGAGAATGCTGAGCGACTACAAGTGACGCTGGATCTTCTGCACAATTGGTCGATTCAGTGGCCCTTACCCATTAATCAAGACAAATGTTCCGCCCTGCCTATCGGCGCTCCTGAACCATTCGGCGCTTACCACATAGGTGGTTTCTTGCTCAAAAATGTCACGGCAGAGAGCGATCTGGGCGTGATCGTTTCATCAGACCTAAGATCCACTCAGGACACCAGGAAGCGGGTTGCAGCTGCCTACAGGATGTTTCACGCCATCCAAAGAGCTTCTATCGCTTGAAACCGGAACATTTAGACTTCTGTTCACCATCCATGTGCGCGCGATTCTGGAATATGGCCTTCCTGCTGCCTACCAGCTTTTCATCTTTGAGCGCAACATGATCGAAAAGGCCCAAAGGCGTGGATCAAAGTTTGTCTCTGAGTTACTTGAACTGCCGTATCCCCTTCGGCTTCGACATTTAAATATGTTATCTATCGATTACCGTCGCCGGCGTGGGGACTTGACTTTTACCCTCGGATACTCAGGGGAGAGCTATGGAGAGAGTTGCAGGAACTCTTCCACCGCAACATTGGGAGTTCGACTAGAATATATTCAGTTCAGTTCAGTTCAGATGGGGACTGGAACGATAGGAAAATCCCGTGAGTGTTCCATCTTGAGTGGATCGTTGAGCCAGGAATTGATGAAGTGCTCAGTTATTGATGGATCTAAAACGGAAACACCCGTATCACACCCTGGCCAACCAGTTAATGCCCACGTTTCCTGCCCTAGCAGTCCCTGCTGTGGCAGTCACGTGAAGTAAGCAAAGGATAGGAAGAGAAATTGAAGGTACAGAATAAGGAAGTGCACTTAAATAAGAAAATAATACCAATACGTGAAGAAAAGTAGAGAAAAGAAAATCGAAGTACGAAGATGCGAGTTACTCAGGAAAATGGAAAGGTTTCGTGTTGCCACCCAAGAGCGTCAAGTTGCCGCTCAAACCCCTTAACCGTAGATTCCCTGATAACACTTTCCGGAAGCATGTTCCATCGGTCGATAACTCGGCGTGACAGACGGATTTCCGCCCTAATCCGATCGGACCGCGGTTTGTCCAGCTTCAACGAATGACCGCGTAGAACAGACAATCTAGCGGGACTGAATAGCCAAGATAAATCTGGACCAACCTTCCCAGTCAAGATACGGTAGGTTAGGATTAGGTCTCCTCTAAGCCTTCGGTAGTGCATTGAATGCATTTCCAAACTAAGTAGACGCTCGGGGTACGTCCGTCCCCGTAATCCCTCGACTAACCTAGTACCCACTCGTAAAACCCTCTCTAACTCCATTTTGTCCCGGACGAGGCAGGGCGGACAAGCCTGGACGCAGTATTCCAGATGAGGGCGAACGAAAGCCGAAAACAGCCTCGTAAAGATGCCGCCCGTCAAGACTCCGAAATAACGTCGGATTAACCACAACATGCGGAAACCTCTGCTTGCGGCCTTCTTCCAGTTGTCGCCGGAGTGTAACGCCGAAGAGTGTACGACGCCTAGGTCAACCTGGCTAGATACACGGGGGAGTTCGACCCCACCGACCAAGTACTTCGCAAGAGGACAACCTCCTCCAATTCGAAGAACGGAGCACTTTGCCTGATTTATGGGCAGTAACCATAAAGTAGACCAGTCCCAAAGCTTATCCAATGCTCGCTGAATAGCTTCGGAACCCCCAGGAACAGCAACAATGTTCCGCAGCTTCAGGTCATCAGCAAGTAGCAGCGATGGCACGGAGGCTCAAAGTACGGCCCATTCTCGCGCTATCCACTTGCGTTGTGAATAATTGGAACCGGTTACCGCCGCCCATTGTTGATGCACAGACGGAGGATTGCTTCAAACGATTACTTGAGTCACACCTGTTGAATATGCCGGGATCGCGTTGCTTCAGCTACGAGTGCGATGACCTCTTCGGAGTTTCCGTTGCACAATGACGAGCATTCCAGTACTGATCTTGGAAGTGAAGGAGCAGACGAGGGATCCCTTGCTGCTCTCTACTACCCAGTGAACCAATGAACCAATGAACCAATGAAAAACTCCAATGAACAGTACAATCATTGATTTGTACTAAAAGATAGATAACCTATAGATTTTGATTAAAAGGCACTACCGTGGTAAATCCTTATCATTAGAGTAGAATTTTTCTGACTGGTAACTTTGCTGTTTAACTATGCTATCGAGGGCATTTGAATTTTGCTGAGGCGCTATTGTTGAGTTCCGAGATGGCAGCTGATCTGATTGCTCAGGGTCGTCGCAGCCTTGTCTGTGGCGAGATTCCTCAAGCTGTTGAATGTCTACAAAAGGCATGCGAGCAGCTGTAAGTTGTTTTAATGATAATTTCTTCAAGGTCCTCCGAGTATGGCGAACTTGATGAGCGTCTCGGTGATCCTTACCTGCTTTACGGTAGTGCGCTGCTGGAGCTTGCCCGAATGGAAAGCACCGTAATTGGCAATGCTCTAGATGGAGGTAAAGCCAGTTGGCGGAAAAATTTTGACACTGTAGTTCCCGAGGATGATTCCTCATCAGAAACTTCTGACAACTTGGCTGATAATGAACCTGAGATGACTGGTACAGTGATTTTTTTAACTCCTGTAGCTTTAGAGAAAGAGGATTTGTCAAATCAGGTCATTGATGCAATGTGTGAGCCTCCTTCGGTTGGTGCATTTTAAACTGGTTTATATTTACTGCCACCAAGGTTACTGATGGTCCGGGCCAGGAGTCAGGCGAACCTGCGGAGAATAGCCCATCTGAGCCCGAAGCGGAGTCAGCGTCCGAGGAGGAAGAATCTCACCCTGGGTCGGAAGAGGTCAAGGACCCTTCTGACCCCTCCAAGGATGAGAAGAGTGATACAAGCGACGACGAAATCACGAATTTACAGCTTGCGTGGGAAGTTATCGAAGTCGCGAGAAAGATTTTCTCCGCTAAATCAGATGGACCTAGTCAGCTGAAAGTTGCCGAATGTTTTGAGAAGCTGGCAGAAATAAGTCGAGAAAAAGAAAACTATTTGGAGGCCATTTCAGATTTACAGGTATATTCAGGAATCTGATTTCCCCAGTGTCCGATCAGTATTAACTAATTTTGCCTCACTTAGTTTACCCTAGCCATACCTCATTCCTTTTCTAGGAGTGCCTTTCCATTCGGACTTCTGTTTTACCAGAAGATCATCGCGACATAGCGGAAACTCATTTTCAGCTTGGTACAACTCACGCTGTCGCTGGTGATCTGGAATCAGCGTCTACTGAATTCAAGTCCACGATTAGGTTTTTGAAAATGCACTCATCCAACCTAGAATCAAAAGTTTCAGAAATGGAAGTGCATTCTGGGTCAAATGAGGAGCTTGAATCAATTAAAAAAGCCCTTCAGGACGTTAAATCTTTGATTCCCGATGTCGAATGCCGACTTGCCGAGGTTGAAGAGGATCGTCTCGTTGGCAGCTCTTCTACGGCTCCAAATGAGACTCTAAACCGACACATGACTGACCAAAGTGGAATAGTAAAACCTGCCGTGGATATTACGCACCTCATAAGAAAGAAGCGATGTACTGACAATGTGGATGAGACGAAACATGCCTCTAAGGATTCTGTTCCAACTGACGGAGTTTGTAGTCCAGAAAAGAAACGGTCGAAACTTTCTAACGGCTCCTCGGGCCACGTCAATGGCATTGCGAACGATCCTGATGTCATTTCGGAGGTATGTGTGCTTGAATAATGCGGTAAATTTCGATTCAGGATAGTGCTGTCGTTCAACAGACCTGAAGACTTCTACAGCCAGAGTCCAACTTGCATTTGTTTTCATGTTTTTGATATTCTCTTAATGCACAGTTTCGACCATTCCTCAGTTCAACTTCTTCTTGGACGCTGCCGTCCTTAGACAGGACCTTCATTGTCTTTTATCGATATTGCGCCTTACCAAACAACGCGTTCGACGCTCTTATCAGGTTCTTCTACTACCCAGTCATGTACTCGCCTCCATTATACTAACTTGGCGCAGGAAGAGAGACTCCGATGCATCTCCCTGAAGCTTTGTTGCCACGCGACTACCTTTCGCTTGGGCAGTAGGAACACTGCAAAGCCGCTTGCACGAGTGCTGGCACGGTTTGATAGTCTGGATTACAAGCCGCATACCTGGACCGCTCAGCAGCTAGCCGAGGAGCACTAAATGGGATCATTCGCTTCGTGTCTGCGCCCCGGGACACCAGACCTGCTATTCCTTTGGATTAATTGTCTAGCTAATATAAGCTGTTTACGGCTAGCGTGGTATCTGATTTTACATATCTCTGGCGCCGTAGCATGTGATGCGGCTCGAAATTGTGCTGTTGATGAATATTCATATTCAAGCGAGTAGGTTATCAAATGTGGATCTAGTTACGCACGTCCTGCCCGGTAACACTAAATAATGTCTTCACAAGCGTTTTCCTACAGCTTGCGATAACATCAGTTTCGATGGTTTTTAGGCTGCTATCATTAGTTATATACCTTTGATTATCAAATTTATTTGTTAGCCGTAATTCAACTCTGGTATGGTTGCGCTCTGTTTACTGGAACTTGTAGATCCTTGTGAGCGTTTGGCTGCTTCATCCTCCGCCGCTTAAATCGTGTCGCAACACTTTCGGAATCCGGACATTACTCATGTTTCATTAGTTTTTTCATGTGCGCGACAGTTCGACTGCTTGTTTTACCATATTAGCAAATGTTACCTTCCCACTTACGTGCGAAATAGCTTTCGAGTTTGTTGTTAATCTGGCTTGGCTTCTGATGTTCGTCATCCCCAACAACAGCAACAGCCGCTTGAACTGATGCTTCGTTGCCGTACAACCATAGTGCTCCGGGGACTGGCTTTCATGGGTTTGTGCCGAACGAGTAAGCTTTGCTTTTTGGTGGTTCTGCCTTGATGTCTCCAACAGGGTCCTGTTGTTCCAAGTGTTGTAGTTTGCGGCTCGGTAGTGATGTCGGGGACAGGTATCCAGCGTCTTGATTGTGGGGATGTGGCTGCCTGGAAGAAATGGACTAGTGTGCAGGTAAACGATCGATGTTGGCGGGGTTATTGTGCTTTTCAAGTTCGGGGATAGAAGTGGCAGTACGGGGACATAAAGGTGTCAGAAAGGGGGACAGTCCGGTAAAGTTACACAAGAGGAGTGCTGCGAACTGGTGTACCAAAAGTAGTAATCCTATCAGCTAACTTACCGAATGGCCCAAGTCTTTCAACACGAAACGCCATCGACGCAAGAGTGACGTGTCTACGCGTTGTTTGAAAAGCACTGTTATGGTCGGGGACAACAGTTTCAGGCAGTGCATTTCAAATGAAGACGATGTGCACACTAAAGCTGGTTCTTCGGCACTGAAGCCGACTACTTCGAGTCATGACTTTGAGCGAGTGTCCTCTTATATGGTCTGCGAGGGCGCGAAAGAGTCAGTGTTAGGGTGCCTGTTGTTAGTCAGGATAGCATAGTCTAGGATGAGATCACCAGGTAGCCAACGATATTTCAGCGAGATTTTAAGGGCCCCAAGTCCGTCTTCGTACGAGAGGTGGGATAGTCCCTTCTCTCTCTTGTTGACACTGCGCTAGATGGTTTCCAGCAGAGCCTCTTCCTTCAGAGACGGCGGTTGGACCTGTATATTGTGCTCCAACAGCAGGCGTACCAAAGTGCTGTAGAGACGGACAAATATTTCTCTAGGGATTGACCCTAATGCACGCCTAGGAGGGCCAAGCCTTTGATGCCAATGTGGCTACGTTAGCCCTCGGGATCAGGTTGGCGGATATACTAGTGCCTGGGTCACGTTCCTGGGATGTGGCGTTAAGATGCACGCCGCAGATAGTGTACGGAGTGCTCGCACCTTGTCCGATGTGCATGACCTTGCATTTGACGGCGTTGAACGGGAGCAAGTTTTCCGAGGCCCAGGAGTAGGCAGCATCGATATCTGAAGTCGCGCCTGATCGCTTGGCTCGCGGATAGGTCGCAATGTCTTAGCATCGCTTACCTAAAGCAGTATATGACTGCTAATGGAAGATGCTAGGTCATTGATGAACAAAGTCAACAGCAAGGGCCCAAGGATAGATCCCTGGGACACTCCGGTCGTCGCAGCCAGGGCACTGAAGTGTGCGCTATTTGCACGAACTTGGTAGGTACGCCCGGATAGGTAGGTACTTAGCCAGGAGATTATTTGCTGGTCAATCGCCAAACTCGGTAGTTTACTTAAATAGGACTGTGTGATTAACCCGGTCAAATACTTTTGAAAAATCTAGGTAAACCATGTCAATCGGAGTATGACTGCCACTGCTGTCCAGGAATCAAGGACTGCGAGAGGATTCGTGGTGCGCGAGTGAGCCCTGCAAAACCCGTGCTGTTCCGGAACTTTTAGGGACTGGCTTGCTAGATGGTAGCGCAGACAATCGTCTATGATGCTCCATTACTTTGGAAGCAGTGCTATCGGGCGGTAATTAGAAGGGTTTGTCCTATCACCACCATTATATATCGGTGTTATGACCTCTTAATTCCAGGTGTTCGGATGTTCTGCTCTTGTGTGGGAGCAACTGTACAGTGAGGCAAGCAGTTCGGCCAATACGGCAGCAAACTCAAGCAGAAAGATGGGAGGGATCCTATCCAAGCCTGTCCTTAATTTTGCCAATTTTCCAGAACTTTCTCTCTCTTAGACTGTCTGACAGCGCTGGGAGTGAAGTTAGTGTCCACTATTATACTGCGTGCCGAGGAGCTAAAACGGACTCGTACTAAGCCTTCAGCAGTTCTTTGTCCGACGTTGTATTGCCGTCGGGTCTGTGCAGGCTACCAATGGCGGCCCCCGATTTGGTGAGAGGCGATGTGCCGAAAGAAGACCTTGAATTTATCGGCGAAGTGTCTAGCTCGAGCAAACTGGTAGGCCTTTTCGTCTTGGCGAACAGCTGCTACACAAGAATTTCGCGCCCCGCTTTATTGTGCTCGCGATTCAGAGTCACCAAGTAGTAATTATCTGTCCCAGAGGGCCTTCTTTTCCCTGATGAGTCTGTGCGGCAAGCTGAAGCTGTTTGTGCTGTTTTGGCGCAGAAGCACGCACTGTAAGAATGTATGCCCTAATGGTGTCGTTGATGTGAGCAGCGATGTAGTTCTGGTAGTCATCGACTGAGAGATTGTGCTGCGACGGACCAGTTAGTTCAGGAAAGGTGGTCTTTGGTCTCGTCATAGTCCGCTTGCTGAATATTGAGCTTAGTGGGTAATGCCTTAGCGTTGAGCGTGACATTTGCCACCACGCACGACAAAGTAACCAACAAAATTCGAAGTTGTACGACCCATGAGACTTAGGCATAACACGGTGCTTGAGAATCCCGGATCATCGCAGAGTCATGTTTCAGATTGCTCAGCATTTGACACACCTCGACTAAGTTCTGGAGTGTGATCGTGTTGTCCTGCTGTAACTTGGACAAAAGGCACGTTCGAATGTCGGCATCGTGGCCCGATTGGAGGCCAGAACTGAAAATCAGACACTTGAACTGGTCTTCTGTGAGGGAGCCAAGTTGGAATCGTTCGCATTCCCGATTCATCATCATCATTAACAGCAGTACATCAGCTATTTGAACTGATGCTTTGCTGCCATACAACCATGAGGTCTTATGAAATAAATAACAAGAGGGAGAGAAAGGGAGACTTACCTGAAAACGTTAATGCCTTAAGCAAACATTCCGGGTCAAGGTGCCTGCACCTTGTGTAGACAACATACCGTCACAAACAGCTGGTTATCGTGCAAAGATAAGGTGGCATCGGCGAGACAGCTTCCTTGCGGCTTTCACTGCCACGCGTCATAATCAGCCATTACCCCGCAGATAACTCAGCACCAAACATACTTTGAACAGGCAGTCCGATTAAAAGACGGCAACAGACGCTCCACTGGTGTCGGTTGCGAGCCATGTCCTGTAAAGTCTCGAGCTTAGCACAAGGTGAGTCACGTGGACTCCAACCCGGAAGGCGAGACGGACCAACGGCACCCAGTTTGGTTGTCAGTGACTTCATTTCCCGCTGCCAAGTCAACTTCTGTCCACCTCGAGCCTTACGCCAACCTATACCAGTGAGACCGAACAAGGCATGTGTAGCACGTGCCCGAGCCAACGCAACGCATTCCCGATTGACGATTCCCGTATACGTAATGAACTCATCGGCATCCCTTTTGACCAGCTGCAGACATTGGAACAAGGTGTTGAACAGCAAGGACTGTTTTCCGAAAATCTGCGACAACCTGCGGACCGTCTCGACAAAGGTCGCGGGGGTTCTTTGACAAGACAACGTTGATATACCCTTAGTGCTTGACCGTGCCCAGTTTGCGTAGAAGCAGCCGGACCTTCCACGCGTCATTCTGGCAAGCCAGATCAACGGTGAATAGGTCTTCGTACCGCTTATATCAAGAATCGAAGGTGATATCAGCGTCAGGATCGTACAGGGACTCCGAGATACTGCCAACGATATTGTCAACCGATTGAGAGTTTCCAGCGGAACCTGACTGAATGGAAAAAACCGGCAAATTTTTCTGTTAAGGCTGACATCAAATTGAGCTGTTGTTGCAACCGACTTAAAATCGTACGCAATCTCCATGGTTCGGAGCAACCTTTCGGCACTTTGTTATAACTGCCTCTTGGTTAGGCCACGCTCATACGATCTGGTATCAACTCTTCTAGTCGGCCGAACGAATGTGGCTTGGAACTATTTCACGCACGATAAAGTGACCGACTAAATTCGACGTTGTACGACCCGTGAGACTTAGGCGCGACGCGGTTACTACGTGTGAGTTGAACGGCCTCCTAGACCGAACGCATTTTCACACGCAGCTACCCAAATCGTAAGCACTTTTACTGGCCATGTTCAAGGCGATTACAGCGCAGTCCAGTGTTTCTTTTATACCTCGGCGTCAATGATTTGCGTAAGCAAACCCTGGAAGCAACTGAATTGGTACTGTGCAACTATGCCAGCGGAACATGTTGGAAAGTGAATGTTGGTAGATGCGGAGGCTGGACTGGAAGACTGAATATTTCTTAGGTAAAAAAGGCTGAATGTTTTATGGCTGAAGGGAGGTTGACCGGAAGTAGGAATGTTTTCTGAGGTACAAGTGTCAAATTAAACGTCATCATCCTCATCATTATACACGTAAGCTAGAGGTGGGGAACACCTCGGCTACTGTGCCGCAATACTTAACGGAAAGGGAAAATTTTACAACAGTTGCATGGCAGCTGAGCTATAAGCAACGGATAGGCATTGTTCCGGTAAGCTACCAGCCGGCTACTAGTCAAAAAGAAAAACTATTATGTTTTACGCTACGAAATGATATCCTAGGTGGAGAGGGAGTTTGAAAGAAATGGAGAAGGACATAGAAACTCACAGCAGGAACGCCACTGAGGTCGGCTCCTAGCCATATCAGCAAGTGTATCCAGCCAAACGTGTTCACTGTCTTTTGGACCCCAACCAGGGAGCCGTGACGCTCCAACCGAGGCCAGCTCAGAAGTGAGGGTCTTCATTCCTCTGAACCAAGTCATCGCTTGGCCACGCCTCCTCTTCTATCCACATCCCCGGCGAGCAAACAACGCACGTCGTGAAAGTCGGTGGGCTGGCATGCGCAACACGTCATCATCTCATCATTACACGTTAGCTGGAGATAGAAAACACCTCAGCTATTGTGCCGCAATACAAAAGACAAGAAAAGGAAAACAGTGGCACGCCCGGTGAGTCCCCAGTAACGGATGGACATCGTACCGGAGAGCTAACAGCTGGCTGCCGTAAAAGAAACTGGTATTACGCCTATCACAACACGCAACACGTAGCCCAGCCATCGGAGTCAGGTGTGTGAAATGACGGTGCTGAGCGGTTCAGTTCCTTTTTCTATGCCCAATCTAAACGTGAATGTCTCACGAGTCGAAAGACTGATCGAGACGTATGCACTCGTCTGAATCGAATCTGATTGCTTTCCGTGGTTTAAGCTTATGATCATTATGGGGACGTTGGGTCCCCATAACAGTTTTATCTCATCAATTAGATGTGGTTCGTTAGTGAGCAACAATTCGAGTTTCGACGGGTTTTGCCCTTCTCGCCACTTAGTGAACTGCGGTGTGTGTTCTGTTAGATCGTGGCAAGAATTACGTAGGCGTGCTGACCAGAGGCGAAGTCGATCTCCGGGAAACTGAAGTCCCCTGCGACGAGTAGGGCTGCATTCCAGAGCCACAACCATTCTGTAGCAGCTAAAGGTGGGCGATAGGCCACTCCAAGTTTGTGACTGGTCGCATCGGAGCCGCGGAGACGGATGCAGAGGCATTTCTGAAGAGATAACTGTTCCGTAGTTTTATGAGGGACGCATGTGAGGCGGTCTGATACATACAGAGCTACGCCTCCGCCCCTGCCACGTTCACAGTCGTTTCGATGCAGCACCTATCCTGGGATAGCTACCTCGGTGTCGACAACATCTGGGTAGCACCAGATTTCGGTTACTTAGATGACCTTAGCTTGCGTATCAAACGCGAGAGGAGCAATTTCTGGCACATTTTTCCGCAGCGATAGAGCGTTAGTGTACGAGCAGCTTAACGTGTTAACAACAACAAGCCGGTTTTGCTGCGCCAGTTGAGATAGCTCGGTCACGTCTTACGCATGGCGCCTGATCGTTTGCCGCACCGTGCTTTATTCGCTCGTCCAGCACTGGGCTGGAGGCGACTGCTGGTGCCTCCCTTCTTCCTTTTCCACCTTGTTCTCTTACTCCCATCCCGACCCCCATTACTAACCTTCCTTCTATAATTCCCAGCTTAATTGACAGCAACCGTAATGCCACTGGAGTAGAACCACCTGCAGCCACCATCCCATAGCACCTATCGGCAAAAGTCCCTTATAAGGCCACGCTACCCCGTTTCCATGGCGACATTCAATGTTCGCACTCTAACACAAACAGGTCAACAGGCTGCACTCGCACGCTCCTTGGACACACTGGGTATTGATGTGTGTTGTGTCCGAAACTAGGATCAGTGACCCTAACGGGGTTATTGAATTAACTGCACCCGGCTTATCCTCTCGTTATTGGTTGCACGCATCCGGTGACGCCGATGCAGCACTCACAGGTCAAGCTGGTGTAGGTATCATTCTAAGCTCCAAGGCTGAGCCATCGTTGGTTGATTGGATTCAGGTGAACAGCCGTTTATGTGCAACCCGTGTGACGACATCAGCTAACGTTGATTCACGAAGTAATACAAAACGCTGTTTGTTCGTGATTTCCGCTTATGCTCCCACCGACTGCAGTTCAAATGTTGTCAAGGACACATTCTATCACGAACTGAATGCGCTATTACGCAGTGTTACTAGTTCAGATATTATAGTACTTGCAGGGGATATGAACGCACAAGTAGGACGTCTGAGCTCTTCAGAAGCTCAGCTAGGTGCTAAATGTGGGCTTAACTCCCAAGCGACTGACAACGGTGAGCGTCTGCTGCAACTGTGTGCGGAGCACCAGTTGTTTCTTAGTAGCACTGCTTCTAGACACAGTGGGCGCCGAAGTGCCACTTGGCGTCCTCCTGTAGCTGGCCAGCGATGGACCCAAATTGACCACATTGCCATAAGTTACAGATGGCGTGGTTTCATCCTGGATTGCCAATCATACTGGAGTACCTGTGTCGACTGATCATGCCCTGGTACGTTGTCGTTTCTCCATGAACTTTACCGGGAGGCGCACCAAGCGTCCCTTACGATTGGCAACTGAGAAATTGTCTCAGTCCTCTGTCAGGCAAGCCTATCAAGAAGCACTGCATTCTGAACTTCCGCAGTCTTGTCCTAATGATGCTGAGCTTCAGTGGAATAGGATCTCGACCGCCATGCACGACGCAGGAGCATATGCTTGTGGCACTATCCATCGTCACTGCACCAGTCACTGGATATCCGAGAGGTCGGTGAACCTGTTGGAAGCTAAAAGACACCTCCCGGCTGGCTTTGAACACGATGTGACCAGACGGGCTATTATGCGTGAACTAAAGCAGTGCCTACATGCTGACAAGAAAGCCCGGTGGACCAGAAGGGCTCAAGAAATGGAGGAGGCAGAGGCAGTAAGTGATTACCGCAAGCTCTTCCAGCTAATCCACACCACTGGTCCCAGGAGACCAGGCGTCAGTGAGACAATCAGAGACAGCGCGGGTGCGCAGATACACAATAAGGAGCGCCGTATGGCTCGTCCGGCGGAACACTTTCAAGATCAATTCAGCTGGCCTCCTGCTCCCGGACCTCTTCCTACTCAGCTGATGCAGGACGAGCCATGGACGGTTAGTTTAGAGCCTCCGTCGGAGGCCGAGGTCCGAAACGCGATTACAGCCCTCAATCGTTTTCGTGCCGCTGGCCCGGATTCCCTCCCACCTGCACTATTTAAGGATGGAGGTGAGGTCCTCTGCAAATCACTGACCTCCTTATTCGAATGTGTCTGGAAGGAAGAGTGTCCCGGCTGATTGGACAGAATCGATTATAGTGGCAATATACAAGAAAGGCAGTCGCACAGACTGTTCTAACCACAGGGGTATTAGCCTAGCGCCAATTCTGACAAAATTATTGGCCTCGATTTTCGTTCGTCGCCTCACTGCGGAACGGGAATCTCGGATTAGAGAAGAGCAGGCTAGTTTCCGCCCAGGACGTGGCTGTATAGACCATACATTCACTTTGCGGCAGGTGCTAGAGCAGCGCCACGCATACCGCAGACCGACAATAGCTGTGTTCATCGATTTCAAGAGTGCGTTGGATTCGGTCGATCGATCGATTCTGGTCGAAATATTTGCGCAAAAAGGTGTTCCCACGGAATATGTGAACATCCTTCGTGCTCTGTACTCGAACACTACAGGCCGCGTCAGGGTTTACGGTGTCCTGTCGGATATCTTTCCGACCACAAGTGGCGTTCGTCAGGGTTGTCCGATTTTCCTGTTTTTGTTCAATTTCGTCGTGGATTCTATCATGGAGTATTCACTTGGGGAATCTCCTGATGTAGGCGTTGAAGTGCTGCCTGGTGAAAGGTTAGTTAACCTAGATTATGCGGACCATATCGTGTTGCTTTTCGACGATGTTGGGGCCCAATCAACCCTGAATAGCCTTTGGTTCAAAAACCTGATCGCAGGGCAGCGTGTTTGGCGTTGGGCTACAAGGAGTCCGTTTTAAGGAATAAGGCGCCACCCTCATTCCCCCAACCTGGAGGACCATGAGGCTGAGTGTGTCTGGCCTCTAACCATTGACCAATCTGGTATGAGTGTCTCTGAAGGTGCGAAAATGCACCACCCAGCATAGCTCAACGGATCACTGAGGCACACAAACCATCGCACCACGGTAAGGTCCAGCCTCATTGCGTGGGACAGGTGCCTTCGTAATTTAGCTCACATCTGGTGGGAACCGCGTGAGCAACGAGCGTGTTCGACGCCTCGTTTACAGCACAGGAAAAAGTACTTAACCGCTCAGCATCGTTATTTCACGCATCAGGCTCCGATGGCTCGGCCACGTGTTACGCATGCCAGCCCTACTCCCGCGACGTGTGTTTGCGCGCCGGTGGCGTGCGTGGAAGAAGAAGAGGGGTGGCCAAGCGATGACTTGGTCGAGAGGAATGAAGGCCCTCACTTCTGAGCTGGCCTCGGTTGGAGCGTCACGGCTCCCTGGTTGGGGTCCAAAAGACAGTGAACACGTTTGGCTGGATACACTTGCTGATATGGCTAGGAGCCGACCTCAGTGGCGTTCGTGCTGTGAGTTTCTTTGTCCCACCCCATCCGTCTTAGTCTCCCCCTCCAACCACGATCTCATTAGTTAGCCTTATGTAATTTTGCATAGTAATTTTTTTGGTGCACAGCAGCCGGCTGGTAGCTTACCGGAACGATACCCATCCGTTACCGCTAGCTCAGCCGGCTTGCACCAGTTGCTTTCTTCTATGTATTGCGGCACAGTAGCTGAGGTGTTCCCCACCTCCAGCTAACGTGTAGTATGATGATGAATAGCCTGTCCAGAGTGGTCCCATTATTTGGTATGCACTTCGCACCTTCAAAGTGCAAAGTGTTGCTGCAGGGCCACCAGTCACTTGATGACCCCTTGACGCTTGCTAACGAGGAAGTCGGGGTGGTTGATTATTCCACTTATCTTGGCAGCTGCGTCAGCAATGATGGGCGCATAGAAACTGACGTCAGCTCACGCATTGCAAAAGTCAGAGCTACCTTCTTGAGCCTGCGGCATCTTTGGCGACAGAAGGGTTTCCCTTCGTCTGAAAGGCCGTGTATACAAGGCCACAGCGAGGACTGTTCTGCTGTATGGTAGTGCGACTTCGGTCTGAAGAGCTGGGGCGCCTTCAAGTCTTTGATCATCGTTGTCTGTGAAGCATTGCTGGAGTCGGATGGCACCAGTGTATCCGCAACGACGATGTGCGTAGGCGAGTACTAGATAATGATAATCATGCTAGCTCCCTAGAACAACAGATAGCACTGAATAAGTTGCGTTGGCTCGGGCACGTGCTACGTATGCCTGGTCTCCGCTTACCTAGGAGGGCCTTGTTCAGTCTCCCTGGTATAGGTTGGCGCAAGGCTCGAGGTGGACAGAGATTGATTTGGCCACGGGAAATGAAGACACTGACGACCAAACTAGGTACCATTGGCTCGTCTCGCCTTCCGGGCTCTAGTCCACGTGACTCTCTGTGCTTGGCTCGAGACTTTACAGGACATGGCTCGCAACCGACACCAGTGGCGCGTCTGCTGTCGTCTCCTAATTTGATTGCCTGTGTAGAGTGTGTTTGCTGCTGAGTTATCTGCGGGGTAATGGCTGATTATGACGCGTGGCAGTGAAAGTCGCAAGGAAGCTGTCTCGCCGATGCCGCCTTATCTTTGCACGATAACCAGCTGTTTGTGACGGTATGTTGTCTACACAAGGTGTAGGCACCTTGACCCGGAATGTTTGCTTAAGGCATTAAGGTTTTCAGGTAAGCCTCCCTTCTCTCCCTCTTCTTATTCTTTATTTCATAGGTCCTCATGGTTGTATGGCAGCGAAGCATCAGTTCAAATAGCTGATGTACTGCTGTTGATGATGATGATGATGATTGCGTGATGTTCAGTTTGGCTACAGCACATGAGATCGCTAACCTTTAGTCTCGCGGCCGTTGGACTCGTATGTCTCCCTGAATGGGGACCCCGAGATTGGTGAGTGCCGATGACTTAAAAGGGTTGAAAATATGACCCGCAAACGGAACCATTGGATGAAGTTCAGGTTCAACTGAGACCGAAACAGTAGGGAAAATTTCCGTGGGTGTTCATTCCATGGCGTCATTGGTCCGGGGTCTTATTCGTCCGCGATAACTAGAATCTAGAAGAGTCAGATCAGCCTGCGCGA